TGTGGCAAAAAGAACATGTTATTAACAGATCCAAATATCTTTAGTCTCTCAAAGAACCTAAACAGTTACAAAAATTTCACATATGGCTTGTTCTGTCATGTTGACATATATTAAACAAATCATTTTTTAAAAAAAGAATTTATTTATTTATTTGTCAGAGAGGGAGGGAGAGAGCACAAGCAGGGGGAGCGGCAGGCAGAAGGAGAAGCAGCCTCCCCGCTGAGCAGGGAGCCCGATGCGGGGCTCGATCCCAGAACCCTGGGGTCATGACCTGAGCCAAAGGCAGACGCTTAACCGAGCCACCCAGGCATCCCAGCAAATCATTTTTATTGTATGTTTTGCTCTTAGGTTGAATTTCCAACTTTATAATCTCAAATATCTAGTAGAGATGACGTAAGCTAATTTCACTAGCCTTAATTTATGTTAAGTACATATATATATTTTTTAGTACTCATATTTTCTTTAAGCCAATTAACAGAACTCTTCCACAAGTTAGTTTTTAGGACTACCATCCAGAGGGAGAAAAATACCGCATATTATGTAACATACATCCATTGCCACACATAAACATCCAGACAGAAGCAAGCAGAGATCTTGTAGCTTTCATTTAAAAATTTTAGCCACATATCAAGTACAATAATACAAAACTCACTACCGTATAAAAGAATAGTTAGATCTAAATGGTGTTTCTGTAAGGTGGAACAAGTTAGGTTTACCCACTTAGATAGCTAAAGATTTTATCAATATTTGTGGAGAAAGTTTTTAAGATTTTTGTTTGTCTTTTGTAGATAATCTTTTTTTTTTTTTTAAGATTTTATTTATTTATTCATGAGAGACAGAGAGGTTGAGAGAGAGGCAGAGGGAGAAGCAGGCTCCCAAGGAGCAGGGAGCCCGATGCGGGACTAAATCCCAGGACGCTGGGATCATGACCTGAGCCTAAGGCAGACGCTTAACCATCTGAGCCACCCAGGCGCCCTCTTTTGTAGATAATCTTATGGAGGCTGTGGACTAAATTTCGGGCAAGGAGTCTATAGCAATATCAAGTAGCAGTTTGTTTTTTAAAAACCTATTTTTTTCCAGTCTCAGGAGTTGTTTTAGCCAATTTTCTCCTTGGATACTTACATTTCAAAAACATGGTAAGATTAATATTTCCAAGGGAATGAGAAAGGATATAGGGTTTATCTAAGAAGGAACTCAGGGGCATATTTGCCTACTATCAAAAACCAAAGATCATTACTATGAAATTTTTCTTTTTTTATTAAGGGTAGGACAGTCTGATGAATTTTCTTTTTCCTGCAGTGGAGGCCAGAACTATGGGAAAGCCTAGACCTCGTGGGATCTGCTTACAGAGTAAGGGACAATAAATCAAGGCTTGTGCATTTTCTGTGCTTTTGTCAAAGCTATTTCCTGGCTATCAGTATTTTCATGTTTCATATCTGCTTGAGTGCCATTTGCAGTTCCTAACATTTGTTCTGAGTCTGATCTCTACTTCTTAATCTAGTTAAGGAAGTATGTGGGGTTTTCCCCCATCATACTAGCCAAGACTTTGCTCTGTATCTATTTCTTTCTTTCCTTTTCCTTCTTTCCTTCCTTCCTCTTTCTCTCTTCTTTCCTTCCTCTCTTTCTTTCTTTCTCTTTCTCTCTTTCTTCCTTCCTTCCTTCTTTCCTTTCCTTTCCTCTCCTCTCCTTCCCTTTTCCTTCTTTCCTTCCCTCCTTCCTTCTTTCCTTCCTTCCTCTTTCTCTCTTCTTTCCTTCCTCTCTTTCTTTCTTTCTCTCTTTCTCTTTCTTTCTTTCTTTCTTTCTTTCTTTCTTTCTTTCTTTCTTTCTTTCTTCTTTCTTTCTTTCTTTCTTCCTTCCTTCCTTCTTTCCTTTCCTTTCCTTTCCTCTCCTCTCCTTCCCTTTTCCTTCTTTCCTTCCCTCCTTCCTTCTTTCCTTCCTTCCTCTTTCTCTCTTCTTTCCTTCCTCTCTTCCTTTCTTTCTCTCTTTCTCTTTCTTTCTTTCTCTCTCTCTTTCTTTCTTTCTCTCTTTCTCTTTCTTTCTTTTTCTTCTTTCTTTCTCTTTCTTTCTTTCTTTCCTCTTTCTTTCTTTCTTCCTTCCTTCCTTCCTTCTTTCCTTTCCTTTCCTCTCCTCTCCTTCCCTTTTCCTTCTTTCCTTCCCTCCTTCCTTCCTCTTTCTCTCTTCTTTCCTTCCTCTCTTTCTTTCTCTTTCTTTCTTTCTTCTTTCTTCCTTCCTTCCTTCCTTCCTTCTTTCCTTTCCTTTCCTCTCCTCTCCTTCCCTTTTCCTTCTTTCCTTCCCTCCTTCCTTCTTTCCTTCCTTCCTCTTTCTCTCTTCTTTCCTTACTCTCTTCCTTTCTTTCTCTCTTTTCTTTCTTTCTTTCTTCTTTCTTTCTTTCTCTCTTTCTCTTTCTTTCTTTCTTTCTTTTTCTTCTTTCTTTCTTTCTTTCCTCTTTCTTTCTTTCTTCCTTCCTTCCTTCCTTCCTTCTTTCCTTTCCTTTCCTCTCCTCTCCTTCCCTTTTCCTTCTTTCCTTCCCTCCTTCCTTCTTTCCTTCCTTCCTCTTTCTCTCTTCTTTCCTTACTCTCTTTCTTTCTCTTTCTTCTTTCTTTCTTTCTTTCTTTCTTTCTTTCTTTCTTTCTTTCTTTCTTTCTTCCTTCCTTCCTTCCTTCCTTCCTTCTTTCCTTTCCTTTCCTTTCCTCTCCTTTCCTTCCCTTTTCCTTCTTTGCTTCCCTCCTTCCTTCTTTCCTTCCTTCCTCTTTCTCGCTTCTTTCCTTACTCTCGTCCTTTCTTTCTCTTTCTTTCTTTCTCTCCTTTCTTTCTTTCTTTCTTTCTTTCTTTCTTTCTTTCTTTCTTCTTTCTTTCTTTCTTTCTTTCTTCCTTCCTTCCTTTCTTTCTTTCTTTCTTTCTTTCTTTCTTTCTTTCTTTCTTTCTTTCTTTCATCTCATCTTCCTATAGTTACCAATAGGACCTTTTGTTTGTTTAGGATGAGAGCTCTCTTAAAAATCCTTTTAGATATAAAGTCCAAATCTTCAAAGGTATATCTACCTCAATTGTGACTCCAAACCAATAAGCCTTTTCATGGTTTAAAATCGGTAAGCCTTTCATGGCTTAACCCTGGACACAGAGAGAGTGCAAACGGTATAGCCCTCTTGAGATGCAGAGCCCCTCCAAAGATAGCTTAAGAAAGCAAAGACCTTCACTGTCACAGGTGGTAAAGAAAGTTCTATCTCCCACAAAGGAGACACTTTAGTTCACAGATCCACTAACCTGTGTTACCAGAAAGTAATACTGGAATAGGAATTTTCCCAGCACAAACGAGGAAAGGAAAATAGAGACAGCAACAGCCCCCTAGCCTGCTGGCCCGCTGCCCCATGCAAGCCTGACAAGGTGCACTCTCCCCACCATGGCCCTACGCAAGAGGCAGAGACCAGAGAGAATATTCTCACTAGTTACAAAGCCAGGTTCTCAGTACCTGAAACAAGACAAATGAAGAGTCTCATCTTATGATTTTCATCCTATGACAAACAATACAGAAGTCAGACAAAGGAAAACATGACTATTTCTGGGAAGGGAAGAATCAATAATCTGTAGGTACCCAAAACTAAATTCACAAGAGTCATGATTTGAGATCTGTTTTTTTCAGATGTTATTCTCCTGCCATTATGAATTTGGAAAGGAAGGGAAAGGAAAAGAAAAGTTTTATACTCCTCTCTTGACTGGGCGCTATAGTCAGAGATCTGGGAGACTGACATGGTAAGAACTCTTACCTCTGCTGGTCTGTTGTCAGTTACCACATACATCAGCTGCAGTCTCTAGGGAGAGAAGAGTTTTCCAGACTTCTACTCTCCCATCCTCATCACCAGAAACTACAGGAGGAGAAAATTCGATTTCCTTCTACTCTTTTAGGGTTTCAGCTGGGGCTCTGTAACAAGAGAAAGATGAGCAAGACAAAAATAAGTTTATTAACATGGGTATCTCATATATATTTGAGAGAAATGCAGGGATGAGTAACTCAAAGAGGTGGCCAGAATTTGGGCTTACATACAATCTTAACCAAAGAACAGTACATTTTTAGAAGAACAACAAGACAGAGGAAAAGAGTTTTAGGCTTCTAAGGGCAGCAAACTGTGGGAAGATAAATATTTAGTGGCCACTGGAAGATAATAGCTAGTCAGTAAAATTTGTTATTTGAGGTCCTGTGAGGTCTTGTGGCTGATGAGCATGTAGAGTTGTCAGTGATTAAGTCCTGTACAAACCTAGGTGGTTCTGTTTTCAGGTATATAGAGGGAGGGCAGAGTGTTTTCTTGGATCTGCTTCTTCTCAGTTGCCTTCAGTTCAAAAGAATCCTTATGCCAAAACGGAAGATTTTCAGGTGGCATATACTGCTATTCTTCTTTAGGTTTGATGGTAAAATTCCCTTGTTTTAAAATGACCCCTTATATTCTAAGATCAAAATGTGAGATAAGGCATTGTCAAAAAGTTACAAACATTGTTCACGTGAGGCTTATTTATAATAGTAAAACACTGATTTATAAGCAAAAAATTATAATAGCAACAAAAAATTTAGAGTGGGAATATGGCTGAGCAATATGGTATCATGCTATATACCCATTAAAATGATAAGTAACATGTTATGTGCTTTTGGGGAAAGAGTATAGAAAATAATTTTAAGTGAAAAAGATGAAGACAACATAGTGAATGCAAAATCAAAAATTGGAGCTCTTTTTCTGTTGTGTAAAATGTTCATTCAGGGTGGTTTTTTTTTTTCTTTACAGTTGCTCAAATTCATAATAAAATAGGAGACAGTTCCTGGTTTGGAAACAGTCCTACTTCCCAGTTCTTCATGAGCCAGGTCTTTAAACAATGCCATTTCATCATTTTCCTGTAGGGTAATTCTTAGGACATCAAAATAGCTCTTTTCAAATATTAAAAAAAAGAGCTTTCAAAGTTAGTAAACCAATAAAGAGTTCCTGTTTTTCACATCTCTCAAAGGGTGGAACCCGCAGCCACTAGGAGAAGAAGGAAGTGAAAAGATGTTAAGTACTGAGCACAGCCTTCCCCGGTCAGCCTAGAGGTCTGGCTTCCCGGTCAACATGAAGGCTCCCCTTCTTCTGGGGCTTCTCCTGCTTTCCGTCACCGTCCAGGGCAAGGTCTTTGAAAGGTGTGAACTGGCCAGAACTCTGAAAAGACTTGGGCTGGCTGGCTTTAAAGGTGTCAGCCTGGCAAACTGTAAGTTAACTCTTCTTCATCCTTCCAAATAGTTAGCCTGGTGTGGGACAGATAGAGGATGAATAGTAATAAAGAGGCTTTGAATGAATGGACTTCTTTTATTTCTTTTGAGGGTCAATGGTTCAAAATATCAGCTTGTTTCTTTAGAATCAGATATGCCAGATGAAGGAATGAGGGCATGGGAGGGCAAAATTCCCTGCCATTCTAGGGATACCAGGACCCATTGTGCTCCTCTGGGGCTGCTAAATTTGTCTGTTGCCTCAGACTCGGTGGCACGTGTAGGCTGACTGAAAGGTCTATCTGAGCACCGGGACTATCTGTCAAGTCCTGGGTCTTTGACGCCAGGCATTTTCTGTTTGGAACTTGGTTCCAACGGTAATGAGCCTAGAGCAATAAGGATTTTTCTCTGCCATGCCATGGGATTTTTAACAGCAAAGTTTTAAAACCCTATGTTGAACTCTCAGTGCAGGGGCAGTAGGAACCTATTTCCCCTTGATTACTGTTTATATAAGGATCCCTGAAATGCAGCTTGTAATAGTATTTTATTATTCTTTTTTTTTTTTTTTAAGATTTTATTTATTTGTCAGAGAGAGAAAGAGAGAGAGGGCGCACACGCAGGGAGGGAGGCAGGCTCCTCGCTGGGCAGGGAATCCCATACAGGACTCAATCCCAGGACCCTGGGATCACAACCTGAGCCCCAGGCAGGTGCTTAACCTACTGAGCCATTCAGGCGTCCCTATTCTTACTCAGTATAGTTTATTAACTATTTTTCAGTTTCTTCCACTTAATTCAAGATATGTCTGAGTAAAAGTTACTTTATATTTTAGTTCACATTTATCAATGTGATCACTGTATTTTTGAGGTTGAATTCAAACATTTCCTCTTGGTAACCGCTTTTGAATGAACGAGTGGATGGATGGATGAAATAGTCTTTCCTGTTTATACCTCTTGTTTTTCAGATTCTGATTTGATAAGCAAATTCACCTTTAGGTATCTTAAGAAAATTTATTTCTCCCAGAAAATTCTTATTTTTCCTAATAAAAAGCATTTTTTCCATCAGCGTATGTATGTATCTGCTATTAATTATAAGATCCACTCAACAACTCTGTTGATTTTTCCATCCTAGGATAAATCTTGCCTGAGGATGGGAGCAGGGGAAGGGTAATGACAATGGAAGAAACAGCTATTTTAATATTTTAAAAATATGTTATCTAGTTTAGTATTAGTATTAGTATACTAATAGTATGTATACTAATAGTATACATTTTGTAATACTAGTATTAGTATTACAAAATGACTTGCAAACGAAAGGATTCTCACTAAAGTGTTAAAATATATTTGGGGGCCCCTGGCTGGCTCAGCCAGTGGAGAATGCAACTCTTGATCTCAGGGTTGTAAGTTCAAGCCCCATGTTGGGTGTAGAGATTACTTAAAAAAATAAAATCTTAAATATATATACATATATTTATATTTATAAGGAAAAGACACTTTTACACTTATAAAGTAAGTCATTAATAAAATAGAATAGCAAAATAGAACTGATTATGGTATGTGAAATACATCATGTGGTGTTGATGTTTCTTACTAAAAATAAGTTTTTTTCAGGGATGTGTTTGGCCAGATGGGAAAGTAATTATAACACAAAGGCTACAAACTACAATCCCGGAAGCAGAAGCACTGATTATGGGATATTTCAGATCAATAGCCGCTACTGGTGTAATGATGGCAAAACGCCCAGAGCCGTGAACGCCTGTCGCATACCCTGCAGCGGTAAGAAAGACGATGTTTAAGTGGCGGCACAGGACTCATCTAGTCATACTTACGAGAGCAGGGGTTCCGTACAAATGAAAGAGTCTTGAAAGGTTCATCAGGGACCTAGAAAAACTCTATTTCAGTGCCTAGAAACTCTTTATGATCATCCTCATAATTCCCTAAGAAATTAAAGAGCTGATGATGACATCATAAAAAGTTCAAGTTTTCTAATGTAATCTAAAATGATCGATTAATTTATCATAAATGAACATATTGATGCTTTGTCGAAAACCATGCCATTTCTCCCACTTTCTTTGGGGAGGTTTAGGGATAATTTGGTGGTGGGGCCCTTTTCTAAAAATTGTTTTTACTTTTTATTTTGAAATGTCCTCAATATATAGAAATTTCGAGATTTTAGTATAATAAACAGCCATATGCTCATCACATACTTTAATAGTTGTTAACACTTTGTCAGTTTTACTTTTTTTACGTGTATTTTTTTCTTTTTGCTGAGTGATTTTAAAGTGAATTAGAAACATGATGACTTTTCATTTCTCAACTCTTTAGTTTGCCTCTTCAGAAAATACAGTTCTTATATAATTATTGTTATACCTAACAAGTTATCTTATGGATTTGTTTAATTGGGGTGAAACAAATATTCTTTTGAACTCATATAAAAGATAGAAATAACATGTGGAATATTCAGTGTATAAAATACTGGAGAAGTATTGTAAAATTGATATTGTTAAATCTTTTAATGTTAAACTTACTAATAGACAAGATTAGTCTTAGAATACATTTTGCATCCAGCTAATTTATTTTTAATTTATTTTTAATCTTTTATTATATAATAAAATGTGGCCATTGAATAAAAATCCTTACTCCCCAGAGATTTATGACCACTGGTAACTTTTGGTGTATATTCTTCCACAATATGTATCAATCATGTTATGAATGTAAAGCTATATCATGCACAAATGTACCTACATACAAACATGTAAGCAATGTGCATTAAGAAAAATGAAGTTGTACTATTTTTACTGCTTTATAGCTTGCTCTTTATCACACAAAATTATTTCTATGTCAACAAATACAGATCTGTATTATTTTTAAAGGATGGAAAGAATTCCACATATAAATGTTCTATAACTTACTAGTCCAGCTCTTATTGGTAAGCACTTAGGTTATTCTGCTTTTCCCCCTTTGTGAAATGCTATGAAATATCTTGTGCATACATCTTAGGTACATTTTTATTATTTCTTTAGGATAGATTTCTGGTGGCAGAACTGCTGATTAAAAAATTGCTAGTCTGTGTTTGGTTTTTTTTTGTTTATTTGTTTGTTTTTTACAGTGCCTAGAAAAAAGAGAACCTTCTGTCATATTAGTTAACAATTCCAGAGCTTTCCATGACTTTGGTAAATGAGAAACAGAATGCTTTATTTCATGCCAAATGGGATAGAATGAAGAAAAATTTTCCCCCAACATTCACAGATAAATGGACTCTTAGAAAATAATTTTATGTTCTTTCATCCTCCTAAGAGAATAAAGCTGACTAAATCTAAACTTAAAATGAAATTTCTGTGGAAGCTGTTTTCATTCCTCACCACCTCTTTTTCAGATTTGCTGAAAGATGACATCACTCAAGCTGTAGCATGTGCAAAGAGGGTTGTCAGTGATCCAAATGGCATTCGCGCATGGTACGTTTAAGCATTAAGGTGGGGTGGGGGGCGCCTGGGTGGCTCAGTTTGAGCGTCCGACTCTTGATTTCACTCAGGTCATGATCTCGGGGTCCTGGGATGGTGCCCCACGTTGGGCTCTGCACTGGGCATGGAGCCTACTGAAGATTCTCTCTCTCCCTCTACCCTTCCCCCCAGCCCCCCTCTCTCCTTCAAAAGATTTAAAAAATAATAATAAATTGAACATAATAATAAAAAAATTAATTTAAAAAAGAATAAATAAATAAATAAAAGGGGACAGCTATTTTGCCCGTGTTAAGAGAGAAGTGAAAGAAGATTTTCAAAGACCAAAGTATGCTACTGAGAACTGAATGTTGCTGCTTTAGCCTTACCCTAAACAATGAGTTACATAGAAACAGCCTGTTTCATCTGATTTAGAATCTTACTCTTTCCCCCTTCAATTTATTTTAGAGGATTTCTAGAGTTTTTAAGATTCTCAACATTCTACCAGTTCCTTGTCTTATCTTGAAATTGCTTTTGGAGTTAAGTAAATGTGGAAAGCACTTTGCAATTACTATTGTAGAATGCATAGATCAACGTTCATGTTCCTGGGCTTTGGGGGGATCCTGGGCTTTGGGGAGAAGTGACATACTTGGTGTACATATCTCCATTTAATAAATAGCAAATACCCAATCTATCTGCAGCCTGTCGTCCATTTACCAGTAAAACATTCTGTTCTCCCAGAGGATTTGAAGTGTGTCTATTACAATGAAGCTATGTTTTGACCTTATCAGTGTTTGTTTCGCTTTTCTCTACAGGGTGGCATGGACAGCACACTGTGAAAACCAAGACGTCTCTCAGTATGTTCGGAATTGTGGAGTGTAACTGTGGAGTTTTCCTTCTGCAGCTCATTGTATCTCTTTTTCATATTAAGGGAGTACTGGTTGAGTGAAAGGTCACATTACCATTCTTTCAAATAACACTTTTACACAAGCAGGAACAGAATATGGTCTTTCTTCTAAAAGTCTTCATGTTTACGAAATGTGTTTATTTGATAGCCTGTAACATTTTTCAGTTTGCTAATAGAATAATGCTGGTGAAAACTTATCTAAAGTCTTGCCTATCAAATACATCTCCAATATAGTCAGTTCTTAAAGAAATAATCCCAACTTAATCTTTAGTACTCCCCAATATTTTATAAAAATGTAACAAACAATCTTAAAAACAAACATCTTAGGCAAAATCCTAGCTGAATAGGCATCTGTTCAGTACTCTCCAAAAACAGTAAAAAAAAAAATTAAAAAAAACCACAAAACAAACAAAAAAACACTCTCTGTTGGGCAATATAAAGTTTAAAAAGGAGCAGAATGCCAAATGGCTAAAAATGACGACAGCCTGAATTAAGAATTTTGCTTTTCTAAACTGTGACCTTGGTTTAAATATTTTCTCAGAAATGTTGCTTTCATACTGCTTTAAAAATAAATTGACAGTTTATATGTCAATCTATTTTGGCCCTTTAAAGAACTCTTCTATGCATCTTTCTGATCCTGAAGGAATATAAAGAAGGATTGGATGAGCTGTTGTTGTTCTTTGATTTTATTAACTTAGATTCATGCATTATGACTAAATCTTGAGGCAAATGACTTTGCAAGTATTGAAGTAATTGCTGATTAACCAAAGGTGTGAAATTATGCATGTTATAAAAATAATACAAACATTATCATTAGAGGCTTTGCAACTCATAACTTGTCTTTCTTTGTTTAGACCCAACTAGTGTCTAAGAAGAAAAAAATATGTGTATTCAAAAAAGAATTATTTGGGGGCTCAGTCGTTAGGCATCTGCCTTCGGCTCGGTCCTAATCCCAGGGATTAGCCCCGCATCGGCTCCCTGCTCCGCAGGAAGCTTGCTTCTCCCTCTCCCACTCCCCCTGCTTGTGTTCCCTCTCTTGCTGTGTCTCTCTCTGTCAAATAAATAAATAAATAATCTTTAAAAAATATAATTATTTGGTATTCTTAATATATTCTATATCTTTACCTGTACCCAAACAGCTGGATATTGCTGGAAAAATCCATAAGCATTCTGACAGATCTCATTTTGATAACCACAGATCTTGCATGGGCCCTCAGTCTGCATGGCCATCCGAGTCACTTCTCTGCACTCCTTCTGTGTGGGGGCCCCACTCTCCAAAATGACTATTACTATTTTAGTTCTCTTCCTCTCTCTTCAAAGCCCCAGCACACACATCCAACCATTCACTTTTCACCCTCTCTGTTCTCAGTAGATGACCTGACCTCACATTACACTGAGAAAATAGAAGCAAGCTCATACGAAATTCCCCCCTCCTTGCCACTGTAACAACGATCACACCTTCCCCTGGGCCCATCCTCTCTTCCTCCGCTCCTGCCAATGGCAGGGTCTCCACATGCAATCTCGGATTGCATCCGTCTCATGACTCCCAAGTTAGCAGAGTGTTTCCTGCATCCCGAGTTACTCTCTCTTTGCTGGATATCCCCTGCCATTGTACAAAATGTCCTGGTAACCTTGCAAAGATTCTTGCAATTCAAAGACTTTGCAATTCTAGTGATCTCTGTTATCTCACTGGATCTTTCAGTAGCACTTGACCAAGTGAACCACTTCATACTTCTGGAAAGCTTTTTCCCCCTCAGCTTCTCCTCCTCCTCGTTCACATCCCTCCTCATGGATTGCCCCTTCTCAGTCCTTGACTGGCCTTTCCTCTGTTACTTAGTTTCTAACTGAGGGAGTGCTCCAGCACTCAAGCCTATAGCCATTTGATAGACTACATATTTTACTTACTTATTTATTTGTCTCTCCTTGCTGAAATATAACTTCTAAACTAATAGATTTTTCCCACTTTTTAAAGACATTGAAATAACTCAATTTTCCCCAGAATTTACATGTACAGTACAAAGGCCTTAAGTTTTCTGAACAGTTTGAGAGTAAATTGGTGCCCATGTGGCCCTGAATCCTTCAGTGTGTGATTCCTACATAACCTCAAAACATCACCCAGATCTGGAAGCTAACACTGATACATTATTACCACCTACTCTTTAGAGCCCATTCAATTTCATCCATTGTCCCTGTAAGTTCTTCACAATAGAAAGATCTAATTCAGAATTATGTGCTGTATTTTGTTGCCATTTTTTTTTTTTTTTTAGTTTTCTTCAATCTGGATCATTTCTTCAGTTTTTTCCTTTGATTTTCACAACTTAACAATTTTGAAGACCACAGACCAGTTATGTTGCAAAATGTCTTAAAGTTGTTTTGCTGTTCTCTTGATTAGATTAGGTTGTGCATTTTTGGCAAAAATACCACAGAAGTGATGCTGTGCTGTTCCCATTGTACCCTCTCGGGTGGCACACAGTTTTGAAATGTTCTGTTACTGATGATGTTTACTTTGGTCATTTGAGCAAGTGACCTCTACTGTGAAGTATTTGGGAAGGGGTAAGGTGCTTTAAGACTGTTCCTTAGCAAGTTTTCAATTCATGCATTTATTTATTATATCAATATGGACCCATGGCTTCCTATTTTATTCAAATTACAATCCATTACTACCATTTATTTTTATGTTCACATTGTCCGTAATTTGGCTAGTAGAGCTTCTCTGTAAGCTAGCTTCTGCATCATTTTGACATGTCCTCATATTTCTTGAGCACTTTTTTGTTTTCTGGCACAGGATGGTCTAAGGCTCACCTTGTTCTTCCCCTGCCCCAGCCCTGGAATCAGCCATTTCTCCAAAGAGCACTGATTCGGCAGAGTGGACAATGGTACATATGTACGTATATATGTATGTATTTATTTAGATCTATTTATTTTAGAGAGAGAGGGAGAGAGCGAGTGTGCATAGAGGGGCAGAGGAAGAGGGAGAGGAATCTCCAGCAGACTCCCCGCTGAGTGTGGAGCCCAATGCAGGGCTCAATCTCATGACCCTGAGATCATGACCTGAGCTGAAATCAAGAGTCTGATGCTCAACCGACTGAGCCACCCAGGCGCCCCTGGACAATGGTATTTGAAAAACAAGATCTAGGCACTAGAGTGTCACTGATTCCAGGCCCCACCAGTGGACAGAATTAAAGGTTGTATGTATTTACACAGTATTTATCACTGTATCTATTTATATTGAATTCATATCAGTATCTCCAATTCCAATCCCACACCACAGGGTTCATTCTATTTTTCTTTTTCCACATTGTTAACTCTCTTCTCTGATAGTGAGAAACTTGGCTTCCATTGTCCTTAATAGCTTTGAAATGTATCCTTAGTGCATGTATGTATTTGATCAATTTGTCCGTATGTAACAAATCTCCCAACACTGCCTCACCATGGAATAGACCCTCTCCACTCAGGCTCTAATATCCTTCATTGGCTACCCCTTCCTCCACATCTGCACGCCCTCTTAACTGTGTTACATCTCTGACACCATGCTGGGTCACTGTCCTGATAGGAAGGAGGGCAGAGTTTTTTACACCCATATTCCAAACACCTGGAACATGATACGCACTCAATAAACAGCTGATCGAATGAATCTCTTCCTGATTATTTAGTATGTTCCTCCATGTTGACCATTCTAGGATTTTTCTTACTCTTCAGGCCCACATGATTCCAGTACAACAGCTTCTGGGATCCCAAGGGTCAAGTCTTGACTATGTGACTGTAATGCATAGACCAGCCATGGGAGGGCAGCAGAGGTCCCCAACACGGGTGCAGCCTCAGGCTTCAAGATTCTGGAGCCATTCTAATACGATTAAACCCCCCAAAATATGGGTTTATTCATATCAGGTCACCCAGAGGTGCATAAAGAATGAGTCAAGGTAGGGGAGAGAGACTTGAAGAGTGACAGCTCCGTTGCAGAAATGAGATATATCCAGAAAGCTCCAGGATAGCTCAACAACACAGGCTGACTGAAGAAACAACCAGAGATTAGCAAAAGTTGGCTGAAGAGGGAAAGCGATGTTTCCTGGAGATTTTGCTTAATGTTTTTGGTAACTGTCATTTCTTATTTATAGCTTTTATTATCATACAGTCAAGCTCCCAAATTGAATTTCTATTCTTATTTGGGAATGAAATAAAAATCAATATCAATGTTTGATCATTTTTCAGAGAAACTCAATCTGTATGTTGCTTACTTTTACCCCAGGGTATTATTTGAAATGCAGAGTAATATTCCAGATGATAACTTAGCTCTTTATGTGGCACTAATTATAACTAAGCCCTGAACACATCTTTTGCACTTCTATTTAGTGGACTCATTTACCTTTTTTTAAAGATTTATTTATTTATTTCAGAAAGAGAGAGCAGGAGGGGCAGAGGGAGAGGGAGAGAGATTCTCAAGCAGACTCCCCGCTGAATGCAGAGCCTGACTTGGAGCTCAATGTGGGGCTCGATCTCACAACCCTGAGATCACGACACCAGCCAAAACCAAGGGTCAGGTGCCCAACTGACTGTGCCACCCAGGCACCCATAGTGGACTCATTGAAAAAATATTTACTTAGAAGTTGTGAAAGGAGATTAATAAAAATTATAATGAGGAGTGACTAATGTCATTCATAGATACAATGTTTTCCAATTAAATGCATATCTATTATGCAATTATATTTTTAAATCATTTTTAATTTAATTTAATTTAATTTTTTAAAGATTTTATTTATTTATTTAACAGAGAGAGAGAACACAAGTAGGCAGAGCAGCAGGCAGAGGGAGAGGGAGAAGCAGGCTCCCTGCCGAGCAGGGAGCCCGATGCGGGGCTCAATCAAAGGACCCTGGGATCACGACCTGAGCCGAAGGCAGACGCCCAACTGACTGAGCCACCCAGGCGCCCCAGTCATTTTTAATTTTAATAAGGTTATAAATTCTCAGTGTTTACAGAGTCAGATAGTTCCACAAAATTTATGAAAGATGTACCTCCTCATTTCTCCACCTTTACATGCAACTGCTTTCTACTCTTTTAGTTTAATGTTTTTTATATTTACCTCCATGCTTTTAAATATTAGGCTTATATTGCATTTTCTTGATTTTTCCATCATCCTAGGCTATTAGGATATTGACTTTCCACTATGGAAGTTAAGGATTAGGCTCTATTTCCTCCTCCTCAATCTCCATCGCAGATGGCACCCTTCCCCAGTGCCTATCCTTCCAATGTAATTATACATTTTTGTTAGACCAATACTCAGTATTTACATAGCCACAAATACAATTATTTTCTTCTCTAATGGAAGATTGTATTTTCCCTAGAGCTAATAACTGCATGACTCTTAAATTTGCTTAGTTTTCTGTGTATCTTTTGGTTTTACCTCCCAAACTCTAGGTCTAATATTTAAACATTAAATATTAAATATTTAAATAATCTCTCAAGGCTTCAGACGCAGCTAGAATTTTGTCAATTTCACCCTTTTTTTAAGTTTATTTATTTAAGTAATCTCTACACCCAATGTGGCCTTGAACTCATGACCCCAAGATCAAGAGTCACATACTCTTTTGACTGAGCCACCACCAAAGCCTGAGGCTTAACCAACTGTGCCACCCAGGAAACAGACTCTCAACCTGTTTTGTTAGCTTCTCTCTTCCATCTCCCTCCCCTTACGTCCAGAGATTCCCCACAAATACAAATTCTTGAGACTTGGCGGGGGTGGGGTGGGGTGGGGGGTGGGGATGGGGGGGAAAGGCGGGATGTGTATCAGTTCTGACTGCTCAGCTCTCAGGACTGCCCTATACCACGATTCCTATTCCAGATTTCAAGATTCTGTTTTGCCTTCCCTCCCATTCTTCTTATTTTTTTCTCCCCGCCCCCAACCATTCTTCTTATCCTTATAGGTTTATGCCTTTTTGAAAATCTCTTTACTTGCTTTAAAGGAGTTATGGGAGGAGACAAAAGATGTGTATTCGATCCATTATCTTTCCACAAAAGTTCCCAATATGTTTTATGTATTTGCTTAATTTTATTTTATTAAATGTTATTTTACTTAAAAAATACTTAGGGTAAGATTTTAAACAAAGAATAAAAAATCCTCTGAGAAACAGGAGAAAAGCAGAAAGAGGAAAGCTGAAGAAATAATTATAAAGAGCAAATTTGGGTTCCAGAGGTCACGTTCTGAAAGCTGTAATTTGAAAAAGGTGAAATTTGGGCGAGGGTACAGGGGACAAAAAAAATCCCATATTGTGATGTGAAGGATTTTGTAGGACAGTGTGCTTTAACAGGTCTCACTGGTTTCATCTACCTTTGGAAAATAGCCTCAAGTCTTCTTGACTTCTCCATTTTTCATTTATTTACTATTCAACAAACATTGATTATTGGGCACAAGAAATGTTGTGGGCCTAAGAATACTAAGGTGAATAAGATACAGTTATTGCCCTCATGGAGTTCACAAATAATTAATACAGAACATGGTAAGTGTTACAATCACTTAGGCACTATGGGAATATAGAGAAGAGAGTGACTAACCACCTGGAAATCAGCTGCCCAAGAATTAACAGAAAAACCAAGAGAGGGCGCCTGGGTGGCTCAGATGGTTAAGCGTCTGCCTTCGGCTCAGGTCATGATCTCAGGGTCCTGGGATCGAGTCCCGCATCGGGTTCCCTGCTCAGTGCGGAGCCTGCTTCTCCCTCTCCCTCTGCCACTCCCTCTGCTTGTGCTCTTCTGTCTATCTCTCTGTCAAATAAATTAAAAAAAAAAAAGAAAGAAAGAAAACCAAGAGAATGGGCATCACAAAAGGAGGAAGTGGTTAGCATCGTCAAATCCTGCCAGGAAGTCAAATGAGTTAAGGGAAAGTGGTTAACATATTTACTAATAGAAAAGTCAGTAACTCTGGTCAGAGAGGTTTCAGTGAGGATGAAATTCAGAAGGTGATGGACTGAGGAGCATATGGAAACAAATAGGAAATATTGAGAGCCTTTTTAGGGTCGACTTTTAAGGATAATGCAAAAATAGAGATATGCAGGATCAAAAATGGATGGTTTTTAATAAGAAAGTTTTTTTTCAAGTTTTTATTTAAATTCCTGTTAGTTAATATTAGTGTAATATTAGTTTCAGGTGTAATATTAGTTTCAGGTGTAAAATTTAGTGATTCATCATACATACATATATCATACATATAATACCAGTGTTCATCACAAGTGCCCTCCTTAATACCCATCACCTACTTAACCCATCCCCTGCCCACCTCCCCACCAATAACCTTCAGTTTGTTCTCTAGTTAAGACTCTGTTTCCTGGTTTGCCTCTTTTCCCCCCATGCTCATCTGTTTTGTTTCTTATATTTCACCTGAGTGAAATCATATGGTATTTGTCTTTCTCTGACTGACTTATTTCACTTAGCATAATACTCTCTAGCTCCATTGAAGTCATGGCAAACGGCAAGATTTCATTCTTTTTATGGCTAATATTCCATTGTGTGTGTGTGTGTGTGTACATATACCACATTTTTAAAAAGATTTATTTATTTGAGAGACAGAGAGTGAGTGTGTGTGCACAAGTGGAAGGAAGAGCACAGGGAGAGGGAAAGGGAGAATCCTGAAGCAGACTCCCTGCAGAGCATGGAGCCCAATGAGGGGCTTGATCCCAGGACCCTGAGATCATGACCTGAGCTGAAATCAAGAGTTGGAGGCTTAAAGGACTGAGACACCCAGGCACCCCTACACCACATCTTCTTTATCCATCTATCAGTTGATGGACATTTGGGCTCTTTCCGTAATTTTTGTATCCTTTGGGTAATACCTAGTATTACCCAAAGTGCAATTGCTAGATCTAGAGTAGTTCTATTTTTAACTTTTAGAGGAACCTCCACAGTTTTGTTTTTTTAAAGATTTATTTATTTTAGAGTGGGGAGGAGAGGGGGAGAGAGAGAATCTCAGGACCCTGAGATCATGACCTGCGTGGAAACCAAGAGCCGCATGCTTAACGACTGAGCCACCCAACCACCCACTCCATACTGTTTTTAATGAGAAATATTTAAACTTAACTCTTCTTATGGGAAAAAGCCAAAGTAGAGGAAAAGCTGAAGATACACCATGGAGTGGGTATGATTGACGGCGCAAAATCCTTGAAGAAGCAAAAAGACCTTAAGAACTGATTTTAAACTGGAAGATTCTCTCTTAACAGAAGGGATGGAAGATATTGGGCAAACCAAAGCTTGTGTGGGCCAGCGAGTAGATTTGATTCACTTGGTTAAAAATCGTAACTCTTTAGCGATGACAAGGTATTGGCTCCAAACGCCAACTTCTCGTTTATTCCGTATCCAGGTGCTGGGGGTGGGGGGCGTCAGGAAAACCGGACCGCCGGGCCTCCAGCGGTTTCCCACCACCGAGGCCCGCCCCGCCGCAGGGGGTCGGCCCAGCGCCTGCGCACTTTGCGCCCCAGCTCCTCGCGCCTGCGCACGGCGCCGCCACCGCTCCTTCCGTTGGGCTCTCCGCGGCGCGGGACTAAACGCGCTTCCGGGACTCGCCCGCCGCGAGGAGTTGGGTGTTGTCAGCGCCGCGAGCTCCGGAGACTCGCCCTCGCCCAGCCAGAAACCATCCGCCTGGGCCCGCGCGGGAGGAGCGGGGCCTCTGAGGGGAGCGGCGACCCCGCCGGCCCCGGTCTCTTTCCCTGGCGGCGGCGGCTTCTTCCGTAGGGCAATATGTTCAAGAGAATGGCCGAATTTGGGCCTGACTCCGGCGGGAGAGTGAAGGTCAGTGCCCAGCACGCGCCTCCCCTCCGGGAGTGGCTCTCACGTCCTGGCTCCTCCCTGCGCCACGTTGGGGAGGGCCCGGTTGTTTTCCCTCTCGCGCCTTCTCAGCTCAGGCTTGGGCCGTGGTTTGTAGACCGAGAGCGAGTCAAAGCCGCTGCGGGAAAAGCAGTGTTTCTTTTCTTTTGGCCACGATTTGACCGCCTCTCCACCCCCTTCCGTCCCCGCCAAAAAAACAACCAGTGGTGGCTTGAGGGAGAGCTGGACGTTGTTGCCGAGGAAAATAGCTGCTTTGAGGGCTTGGTGCTCATCTGCCAGCCCAGGTCACCGGTAAACTGGGGGTGCCATCCACCTGATTGTGAGGATAGTAAGAGCAGCAGATACTGGGTTCTGCGCTGACCGTGCCAAGCAGAGTAGCTAACCGCTTTACCCGATTCTCTGATTCAGTCCCTACAGCAGCCTTTCAGAGGCTTACGCACACAGCATGTGCAGGTGCGAGAACTGAAGAACTTGGGGGGATAGAAAAGTTCAGAAAACTTGCCCGAGTTCATGATGTCCACAAAGCCCCAAAGCTTCGGCCAAGATATTAATCAAGGCATGCAGAGAAGATAACACTGGCCCGCACATAGAGAACATCCCGTAAATGTTAGTTTTCTTTTTTTTCCCTTTTTTTTAAAATGTTTTATTTATTTATTCATGAGAGTCAGAGAGAGAGAGAGAAGCAGGCTCCCCGCCTAGCAGGGAGCGCGATGTGGGACTCGATCCCAGGACCCCGGGATCATGACCTGAGCTGAAGGCAGACGCTTAACCATCTGAGCCACCCAGGCGCCCAGTTTTCTTTTGTTTTTAAAGTTGCCGGCGTGGAGCCTAATACAGTGTTTGACACTGACCCATTTCCCTCCCACTTTCCTACATCCCCTGGCACATTAGTTTTTAAGGCAGGGCCCTCTGGTTCTTGATATATAACACCTAATTTTACCCCTTCTGATTTTAGATTTATTGCAGAAAGGAAGTTTTTAAAAAGAAATCACCCACGGGGCGCCTGGGTGGCTCAGTCGATTAGACAGCTGCCTTCAGCTCAGGTCATGGTCTCAGCGTCCTGGGATTGAGCCCCGCATCGGGCTCCCTGCTCAGCGGGAAGCCTGCTTCTCCCTCCCTCTGCTGCTCCCCCTGCTTGTGCTTGCGCGCGCTTTGTCAAATAAGTAAATAAAATCTTTTTAAAAAAAGAAATATCACCCACGTTAGCACCAATCTAGTTACTCTAGCTTTTCATCAAGTCCTGATCCGTGTCAGACATAATTTTTACATAATTTTGACTGTACGTGTATACAACTATTATGCACAGTGCTTTAATATCACGTGCGAAGTAGGAGTTCTTGGAAAATTTCAGAAACTACCAAAATTTAATGGAAAGATGTCAGGTAGAATTCATAGTACCAGAAACTTCATCATAAATACATATTTTGCCCAAGCTTTGGGCAAGGTTTGGGACTGATAGGAAAGTAGTACCAAAGGGTTAAAACATTAGCTTTCGGAGAACTTACAGAACTTTCTCTACTTGTAATCATGTAAGGTTCAAAACGTTTTAAGTCAAAGTGATTTGAGGAGATTAGGCTTGTAGTCCTCAAATGCTTTTCCACCAAACATGCCTGTGAGTTAGTCATGTAAAGCTTTAAAATTAAGGATTTATTTCTCATTCTTGATGATTGTTATGTCGTTTTGTAGGCATCTTTTTCCAATTTAGATAAATTTCCTTCAGTTAGAAAGTCTGTTGACAGATGAACCCGCTTTGCATCACCGAGGAAATCTGCAAGTTCTAGCAACACAGTAGTAGCTGCAGGATGTATTACCCATACCTGGCGCCAGTGTTCCTGCTCATTCATTCAGGCCTTGAGCCTGATGCCTCATCTTCTCTTCTCACAAGTGTCAAATAGCACTTGCTGTGATTATTTAAATTCTCATACAAACTGCTTGCCTTCTTTTAACTAACTTGAGGCTCATAGGGATTGGATTTGTTCATTTTCCAGCCAAAATGAAAAGTTTTTCCATTTGTTCACGGCTTTTCCTTGCTTCTTACGAATTGAGTACATTGGCAGAGCACTTTTAATATGTGGTATGTCTTGCTTTTTGACCTTCAGATACATTCTTACTGTTGAACAGTTAGTCTCAAATTTCATGTGCAACATTCAGCGTTTTCTCCTGCCTTGAAATTTTTTGTCTCTCCTTTTCATGATAATCCGGCAACAGTCACCACCTCTACACATACCAGATGTAATGAGAAACATGTACTTCCATCTCAGAACTTAACACATAAGTAATGAATTGAAAAATGTTTGCCTTAATTCTACCGAAAATCCTCTCCCAGACTGTCTTTAGTGTTTATACTGTGCTTTGGAAAACACTGCTGTAAACTGATAAATCAAGACATTATTACCCTCAGGTGATGGCAGTGTTAATTCCTGAGGCTCGCTTTAAGGTTTGTAAATAAAGAGCCTTTGCCTTTCTTAAAAAAAAATCTCTCAAAGTATTTTACATGATTTAAATAGACATTTTCAGAGTGGGAACATTGTAATTAATCTGGTGTTTAGTTACTTGTGTTAATATGAAGATAATTGTCTGATACTGATTTGATTGAGAGAAATCCATGTTATAAGCAAACTCTAGGTATTTAGATTGCCTGCCATTCCTTAAAACAAGTTTTCAGGGCACCTGGGTGGCTCAGTTGGTTAAGTGACTGCCTTCGGCTCAGGTCATGATCCTGGAGTCCCTGGATCGAGTCCCGCATCGGGTTCCCTGCTCAGCAAGGAGCCTGCTTCTCCCTCTGACCCTCCCCACTCTCACGCTCGCTCTCTCTCAAATAAATAAATAAAATAAAATTAAAAAAAAAACCCAAGTTTTCAGAGCTCTTATTCTGTATATTTGGGTAAATGATGCAATATTAATTGATGTTGAAATTATTTTTCCTTTAGGGGGTTACTATCGTCAAACCAATAGTTTATGGTAATGTTGCTCGATATTTTGGAAAGAAAAGAGAAGAGGATGGGCACACCCATCAGTGGACAGTGTATGTAAAACCATATAGAAATGAGGTAGGCACTTGTTTCTCCTATAACTTTTTGAAACTACAGTTTGTTTTTGATTGAAGATAAATTGTAATATAGTAACTTTCTGATTATAAAATTGGCCCATTGTAGAAATGTCACCCCCAAAAAGTTGAAAGAAAAAAGTGAGCATTGTCATCTCATAACAGTTAGTAGAAATCCGATTTTCCAATAATGGATTTTCCAATAATGTTTTCCAACTAAAGTTATGATAACAAGAACCATGCTATAAACACAGCCCATCTTCCAATCATTACGTCTTAAGTTAGCTTCGTATTTAATCAGGTGTTTCAGGAAGAGTAGTTCATACTTTTTAGGAACAATTTGGTAATAAGACCATCAGAGAAGATGAAAGACAAAAAACTACTCTATAGTCTAGATGCTGGTAATTTTGTTTTGTTGCTAAATTTCTGATGCCTGGAATACAGTCAGTGCATAGTAGGTATTCAGCAGATACTCAGTGAATGAATATTTGTTGATTTAAAACCCTTTAAAGTTCACAAAAAAACTTGTATATGAATGTTTGTAACAGCATTATTCATAATAGCCAAAGAAATGGAAACAGCCTAAGTATCTTTCAGCTGATGAATGGATAAATAAAATGTGGTATATCCATACAATAGAACATTATTAGGCAGTAAAAAGAAATAAAGTACTGATACATGCTACTACCACATGGAATGTTTAGAAACATTATGGTAAGTGAAAGAAGCCAAACCAAAAGCCATATATTGGATGATTCCATTTTTATAACATGTCCAGAATAGGCAAATCCATAGACACAGAAGATAGATTAGTGGTTGCCAGTGGATGGGTGGAAGAGGGATTTAGGGCTGAGTGCTAATGGGCATGGGTTTTTTTTGTGTGTGATGAAAATATTTTAGATTTGATTGTGGGAATGGTTGTACAACTCTGAGTGTACTAAAAACCATTGAATAGTTACTATAAATGGGTGAATCGTGTGGTATGTGAATATCTTGATAAAGCTGTTATTTAGAAAAAACAAGAAACCTTCAATGACTGACCTGTTGCCCTCAGGATAAAGTTAAAATTACCATGTTTTAGGGGCGCCTCGGTGGCTCAGTTGGTAGAGCTTGTGACTCGATCTGGGGTTGTGAGTTCGAGCCCCATGTTGGGGATAGAGGTTACTTAAAAATAAAATCTTAAAAAAAAAAAAAAACCATACACACACAAAAAACGGTTTTAGAAGGCCTGCCATGGTCTTTCCCGATTCTGCCTCTGCAGCTTATCCCTTGCTGTGTTTGCCTCTTCATTTCCTTCTACCCTCCATTCCATCAATACTAGAGTACTCTCAGTTTCCCAAAGGGACACTCTTAAATGTCTTCATTCCTTGCTTCCTGCCTACTCCATTCTTATTGTTCCCGTAGGTATTAGTTTAAATGTATTTTCTTTCTTTTTTTTTTTTTTTTTTTTTTTTTTTTTTTAAATGTATTTTCTTTCAAACTACTCTCTTAATCTCCAAAAATTAAATTAGGTGCCATTCCTCAAATTTGTACCTGTTGCCCTCCTAACACAGATTACATTGAAATGCTGATTTTCTTGTCTCTCCCTGCCATGAGGACAAGAGTTTATTATTTACCATGGTGGCATCTGGTATCCAGTATTGGTCATTTGTAGAAAAAAATGAATGAAAGTATCCCCAAAGAGTCTTCAAATATGCTTATGAAAAGCTGCCTCAAAAAATGTTGACAATATAATGTTAAGTGATGAAAGCAGATGTTACTATATTGTTATGACCCCAATTAAAAATGTAGATAATCACATACAAAGATTTCCCAAAAGCAAATAAAAAGATTAATGAATACTACTGTCGAGTGTGACTGATTCAGTTTTACATTTTTCTACAGTGAATTCTTTTTTGAAAAAGCCACTTTCCCTAGGAGAATCCCTTCTATGTGCCAGAACTAACGAATATGCTCCTGTGCTTCGAAATAAGATTAGGAAAAGGAGTTTTGTATCTGATGGTTTTAGGTTGCTTAGTTTAGTTGAACTTAGCTTTATGTAATATAATTTTGTTCTTTAAAGTTGCTTAGTTCTTAGATGTGCTTTAGTTTATATGCTTATTTCTGTAAAATATATGGGAAATGTGCTGTTGTTTTTATAGAAAATCAAAATTGATTTAGAGCATTGTCTATAGAGATATATAAAAATAGGATTCGCAAAACAAGTGAATTAGGGACATGTATATTCCTGTATGTTACGAGTTGTGAAAGAATTCAACTCAGGCCTCCTTTGTTTAAAATAAAAACCAAACCTGGGCATAATTCATGTTTTTTGGAAAGTTATAGATTCCACTGGGGATTAAGGAGTACACTTGTAATGATAAGCACTGTGTGATGTGTGGAATTATTGAATCACTATATTGTACACCTGAAACTGTATTGTACACCTGAAACTGTTAACTTGTGTGTTAACTGTACTGGAATTAAAATAAAAGAAAATAGAATTAGATTCCATAAAATTTGAGGGAAAGTGTATTTTATAAAATTAGGTACAATGCTCAGTGTATTTTCCTCAGTTTTTAAATGTAGATGGCAGAACTAATTCCTCTGTATTTTAGGATATGTCAGCGTACGTGAAGAAAATCCAATTTAAATTACATGAAAGCTATGGCAATCCGTTAAGAGGTACAGTACAGTTTTTTGATTCATAATATAAAATTTAACATTTAAAAAGATGTAGGAGACTATCAGTATTTTTTGTAATTTATAGTTGTTTTATTTTTTTCTCTTCAGTTGTTACTAAGCCTCCATATGAAATTACTGAAACAGGATGGGGTGAATTTGAAATAATCATCAAAATATTTTTCATTGATCCTAATGAGAGACCTGTGAGTAATGATAATCTTTGCAAACATAAAACAGATTTTTGTAATTGTGAAAATGTAATCTACTTAATGAATAGTTTGTTATATGTTGACATTTTTATTCAGATACACTTTATGTAAGCTTATGGCATGGTGTATCTTGCCATGAGTTAAGGTTTTTCATTTTTATGGGAAATGCCTTTCAAAACTTATTTTTCAAGTATAGAAAGAAGCGATATAATGTGAACATTTCTCAGAAAGAAACCATGGAATCATGTGATTACTACAGGAAAAATTTAAAATTCATTAATATTATTTGGTTATTAGTAATAAACAAGATGAGTCTATCTGCTGTCTAGAATGAGAGTATCCGTTTTTTTATAGTTAGCAACAGTCTTTTTGCTTTTTCAAGTTGCTATCAGTACTAGCAGCTTTATTTTATTCCTGAATTTTTATTTATAACCATGGATTTTTTCATCTTTTGTTCTCTTATCAAATTTTTGCTTAATAATGTAAAAAGTCCCTCAAAACTTTCACTTTGATCCCTCAGCAGTTTTGGGAGGTTGATGATACCGTCATTTTAGAGATGAGGATACTAAGGTTCAGAGATCAAGTCATATGCTCAAAAACACAGTTAACTGGGGCAGAGCTAGTTTTTGAACCCAGGTTATTTGCATTCAGACCTCACATTCTTTCCATTATCCTTTCTTTTGACTAAAACTACTCAGCTTGTTTTGTTTGTAAACCCATAGGGTTACAACTCAGTTATGGCGCTCTCATTCCACATGTGTGGTTGGTGTTTAACTCGTTTCAGGTCATCACCATTAATTTTCATCTTGATAGATTCAGTGCATTTCTTTAGCACCAAACATTTACACTTTAATAATCAGATTACATTTTTTAAATTGTATGTGCTTCTAAATGAGCTGACTATGACCTGGGCCTGTAGTTCAGAGAATTAGTTCCTAGTGGACTGCACCAGAGATATCTGAGTTGTTTTTTAAAAATTCAAACTCCTAGGCCCCATCCCCTGGCGAGTCTGATTTAGTAGGTTTGGAGAGGGGCCAGCACCCCTCAAAATCACCCAGGTGATTTTGGTGCGCAGTAAGATTTAGGACCCATAGGTATAGGCCATACTATTCCTTCGTAGGAATTCCTTTAGGCAGTCTTTTAAATGAGAGCCTTGTTTGTGCTTACTGTCTCCAGTAGAAAGACTATTGACTTTTGTCATTAAGTGAAACTGGGGTTGTTCTAGTGCTAAGAAAGCTCTAGTTTGTGTTAAGCTTCCTTGAACTTTTTACTGATAACCTTTCATACATTCGTTTTCTTTTCTCCTGAATAACATCTATAGCTCATTTAAATGTTTTCCATGTGATAAGGTTTTCAGATCTCCTATTATTCTTTTTTCCTTCTAGAATACTCTCAACAGACATTATATTCTATCTGGCAAGAAATTATTAAATATCCATTATTTGCCAAGATACTGTTCAAGGGGTAGGATACAAAGATGAGATACTGCTCCAGATGAGATACTGCTCCTGTCCTTAATGGAAAGAGTCTATTAGGGAGAATAGAATACAGAAATACAGCAGATGTTGAGAGAGAAGGAAGAGAAATCAGTAATGCTAGTAGGGCAGAAACTCTTTTTAACTTTGTAAGATTGCTTGGAATTCATTTTTACTTTGAGAATGTGCTGCCTTACCTATCTATTCTTCATCTGTCCTATCCACCACTCCCAGTTGGAAAATAAATCTCTGAAAGAAATTATATCATATAACCTTCTGTGAGACAACTCTCAAAGTCCACTCTTGGAAAGAGTGCTTATTGTACTTCTGCAGTGATTAATTTATTGAATAGGTTTCTGTATAGATCTACACAGGCCTGGATTTTATTACCCAAAAACTGTTGTCATATTCTTTTAGTATAATGAAACCATTATACTTTTTTAATTGTTGACTCTTTAAAATAAGTCATGAAGTTTTATTTAAAATATAAAAGAAAGACACAGGTAGTATGTGATTTATTTCTGTTTCCCGGTTATAGATTAAAAATCTATAGATCAAACCATTATAGATTATAGATCAAACCATTATAAAAGGAATGATTGTTCCTAAAAGCAAAATGCTAAAATTGGGTTTTTATTCCTAGAAATATCTTTGTGGCTAGTTTAGGCATTTTCATTGCTCTAAGAATCTTCAAACACCCCTCAAAATTAGGGACATCTGTCTTGACGTTTTTCATTGTCTATATCTGCATGAATGCCTCTAAGTGTCTCAATAGTAAATTCAAGGAAGGACAGTTTTATGACGCAGTTTTAAATTGTTCTTGAATTATAAAAGTAAGGTATGCACATGGTTTAAAAAAAGATTTTAAAAGTAAAAAATACAGGTCTCCTGTATCAGTTTCTTAGGGCTGCCATAACAAAGCACCACAAACTGAGTAGCTAAAAACAACATATTTATTCTCATGGTTCTGGAGGCAAGGCATTGGCCATGCTTTCTCCAAAACCTCTAGGGAAGGAACCTTTCTTGTGTCTTCTGGTTCCTGGTAGCCCCAGGTGTTTCTTGGCTTTGGTGGCATAACTAAAATCTTTGCCTCCATTGTCCCCTGGCTCTTCTCCCTCCTTGTCTCTGTGTCTCTTATGAGGACACCAGTCATATTGGGTTAGGGCCTTACCTAATAACTCCCATCTTAACTTTATTACACCTGCAAAGACTCTATTTCCAAATAAGGGTCACATTTACTAGTACTGAGGGTTAGGACTTTGGCGTATCTTTTAGGGGGACGCAGTTCAACCCATAACATCTTCTTTCCCCTACCTCTGGCCCTTTCCCTAGGAAAACCACAATGATTCTTTTCTGTTTTTCTAAAATTACTCCCATGCATCTCTGTAGCTGTATTTTATGTCATTTTTCTACATTGTCACTCTGTAGAGATGTTTTCTAACATCCATACCTACCCTCTTTAAAACATTCATGTTTAGTAGATGTGGATAGATAATAATACCTAATAGGAAAATAAAAGTACAGAATGAGTGATTTGCCACACAGTAACTTGTAGTTGAGATAAGATCCTGAATTTGACATGTTAACTAATTCTACTTTCTAATTCAGTTACAGAAATCATGATGTCTCACGATGATGAAAACCTTTGCACAGATGTGACATCTATTTTTATTTCACAGGTAACCCTCTATCATTTATTAAAGCTGTTTCAGTCAGACACCAATGCAATGCTGGGAAAAAAGACAGTGGTTTCAGAGTTCTATGATGAAATGGTAAGGAGATTTTATAATGAGAATTTTAAAAGCATTTTAAGTTGTAGAACTTTGAAGTTATTGGGCTTTTTTTCATTCTATCCCATTAGATATTTCAAGACCCAACAGCAATGATGCAACAATTATTAACAACATCTCGCCAGCTAACATTAGGAGCCTATAAGCATGAAACAGAATGTAAGTGCCATGAGTTCATAATTAATTCTGAAAAATAATGTATTCTATAATGGTGAAAGGATTATGGGATTAGTGACTATTAAATTTTTTTCTAAGGATATATAAAGGTAAATTTTTTAAGAGTTAAAAAAAAATATGTATTACTATAGAACCTCTAAGAAGGATGTTTTAAATTGTTCACAAAGTAGCCTCTCGCATTCTCTGAAATACTGTCTTTTATTCCCTAGTTACATTTAAGCATAGCTTTTCACTAATCTTGCTTAACCTGTCACTCAACCATTTTCTGTTTACTAGTCTTTGCTAATAAAATCTGGGAAGAACCTTGCAGAACATAATTACAGTTGACCCTTGAACAACGCTGACCACTGTCCTCTACCCAACCCACCAGCAGTCAGAAATCTGTGTAACTCTTCACTTCCCAAACACTGAATTACTAATAGCCTACTGTTGACTGGAAGCCTTATTCATAAACAGTCAATTAACACATATTTTGTATATTATATATATTTTAGTCTGTGTAATAAAGTAAGCTAGAGAAAAGATGTTAGTTATAAGGAAGAGAAAATACATTTACAGTACTGCACTGTATTTACTGGGGGAAAAAAAAAATCCATGTATAAGTGGACCCATGCAGTTCAAACCCATGTTGTTCAAGGGTCAACTGTATACTTTTGTACATAGTAGTCCCCCCTTATCCATGATTTCACTTTTCAAGGTTTCAGTTACTTAGGGTCAACAGTGGTCCAGAAGCAGGTGATCCTCTTCCTGGCACATTGTCAGAGGGTCAGTGGTAGCCTAATGCTGTGTCACAGGGCTTGCATCATTCACCTCACTTCATCTCACCACTTAGGCATTTTATCATCTCATATCATCACAAGAAGGGTGAGTACAATACAATCAGATATTTTGAGAGAGAGAGACCACATTTACATAACTTTTATGACAGTATATTGTTATAATTATTATATTTTACTAGTTATTGTTAATTTCTTACTGTGCCTAATCTATAAATTAAACTTTATCATAGTCTTTCCTGTATGCATAGGAAAACGCATAGTCTGTATGGAGTTCAGTATTATCTATGGTTTCAGGCATCTACTGGGGGTCTTGGAATGTATCCCCTATGGATAAGGGGGGACTACTGTACTGTGAACTAGCTTACCTCTTTTTGTTTAACCTGTGTCATTTTACATAGTTTCAGATTAATGCTGGGGTGGTGAATACTAGAATGACACACTGATAATCAGTCACGTTATATTTTCCCTCTAAGCTAACATGGCGTCAGAATCCCATACACATCACTCCGTGCAGCTACTGCCAGTCATTTGCAGTTGGTACTCAAGATGATACCTATTTGCCATCCTTGTGTTAACATTTATGTCAGCATTCATTAAGTTGTTCTTTGATCTTCCATTCATTTTCTTATAGTATATATTGAGCACCAGTTATATACCAGGCATTATTCTAGGTTCAGAAGGTAGAGCCGTGTCCAAACCAGACAAAAATCCCTCCTTCATGAAGCTTACACTCTATTGAGAGAAAGGCAGATATTAAATAAATAGAACAGTAAAGTGTAAGTTAGTAATTAGGTGATATGGAGAAAAACAGCAGGGAAGGGAACACCTTTGGTGGGAGGAGATGGTTGGAGTTTTAAATATCACGTCAGAGAATACATTTGTGAAGCATATTAAAAGTTCATAAAACTAGGGCGCCTGGGTGGCTCAGTTGGTTAAGCGACTGCCTTCGGCTCAGGTCATGATCCTGGAGTCCCGGGATCGAGTCCTGCATCGGGCTCCCTGCTCAGCAGGGAGCCTGCTTCTCCCTCTGACCCTCCCCCCTCTCATGCTCTCTCTATCTCATTCTCTCTCTCAAATAAAAAAAAAAAAAAAAAAAATCTTTAAAAGTTCATAAAACTATACTAATAATAAAATTAGTATTAGTATTATTAGTATATTTTATTATACTACTAATAAAATTAGTCTGTGTAATAAAGTATTTTATGTAGGAATAATTAAAACAATAGTACACACTTAATGAGAGCTTACTGTGTACTCGATGAGTGCTTTACATTTCTGAACTTACTGAATTATGGGTATAACAGCCCTAGGAGGAGGATGCTACTATAGCCCCATTCTGTGGATAAAGGCCCTAGTGCATAGAGAGATTTGATGACTTGTCTCAAATCACCCAGTAGAGCCAGGATTTAACCTGAATCTGCGCTGTTCTATCTGTTCTATCGATAAGCTGTTCTATCTCTGTAAAAGCCTTACAGTCTGTGCTTCTAACCAGTAAGTTATATTGGCTTGCAAAAATAATAATTTCTCTTTGGATTGATTTACTCTAAATTGAGGCTTAACTTAGAAATTTAAAACAAATTTTTCTTCCTTATATAAGCACTTAATATATAGGAAGCGGAAAACTGAAACAAGCTAAAAGAAATTTTTAAATGTTTTCCCTTATGATTTCATTGCTAATTAGCTCTTCTTCCAAGTACATCATGCCCTTTGCAGTCTTACGATTGGTCAGAAAATAAAGTGTAATGACCAAACCAAACAACAAGAATCTATAGTGTGTGTTGTCCTTTTGACAAATAAGTTGGATCAGGTCTTCCCGACTCAATTTAAAACTACCTATTAACCATTGTACCTGACTCCTTGTTGTTTCCCAGATTTGTATGTGCTGTTTCCAGGGCCTGTGATGTCCACTTCATCCATCTAATTCCTTTCTCATTGTTTAAAACTCAGCTCAGATTTTATTGCTGCCAAGAAGCCTTCCTTGATACACACACCCTTTCACACTGGTATGAATCCAGTCTGCTCTCATAGCTCCCTATGACACTGTACTGCATTTTTCTTTCTTGTCTATCATCTACCTCACCCCAGCATCTAACAAAGTGCCTTTCACTCAGTATATGTTTTTTCATTGATGTGGAGAGAGAGGGAGAAAGGGAATAAAAATTGTTGCATAGTAAAAAAAAAAAAGCACTCTAAACGAAGTCTAAAGACAGACAAGCCATGAAAAAATATTGTACTCCTATCACAAATGACTAGTTTCTTTAAAATATAAAGAGCTCCTGCACATCAGTAAGAAAGGCCAATAACTAAAAAGCTTCTTCACAACTAAGGAAAGTACCAACAAAATGAAAAGACAACATACTGAATGGAAGAAGATATTTACAAATTATATATCTGATAAAGGGTTAATATTCAAAATGTATAAAAGAACTCCTACAACTCAAGAGCAAAAAAAGCAAACAATCCAGTTTAAAAATGAGCAAGATTTGGGTATTTTTCCAAAGAAGACATACAGATGGCCAACAGGTACATAAAAATGTGGTCAGTATCACTAATCTTCAGGGAAATGCAACTTAAAAATTACAATGAGATACGACCTCACACCTGTTAGAATGGCTGTTTTCTAAAGGACAAGAAATACAAGTGTTGGCAAGGATGTGAAGAAAAGGGAACCCTGATGCACTGTTGGTGGGCATGTAAATTGGAGGTTCCTGAAAAATTAAAAATAGAATTACCATATGATCCAGCATTTCCACTTCTGGATATTTATATGAAGAAAATAGAATCACTAGCACTAACTTGAAAATTGAGAAGAGATATACACCTCTGTGTTCATTACAGCATTATTTACAATAGCCAAGATATGAAAACAACCTAAGTGTCTATTGATGAATGAATAAAGAAAATGTGGTATATATACACAATGGAATATTATTCAGCCATAAAAAAAAAAAAGAAGGAAATCTTGCCATTTATGACAACATGGATGGGCCTTGAGGGTATTATGCTAAGTGAAATAAGTCAGAGAAAGACAAATGCCAAATGATCTTACTTACATATGGAATCGTAAAAAACAAACAAACAAACAAAAAAACTGGGGTGCCTGGGTGGCTCAGTTGGTTAAGCGTCTGACTTGGTTTTGGCTCAGGTCATGATCTCAGAGTCTTGAGATTGAGCGCTACGTCGAGCTTTGCACTCAGCAGGGAGTCTACTTCTGTCCTTCTCCCTCTCCTCCTGCTCACACACACATGTGCTCTCTAAAATAAATAAATCTTAAAAAAAACAAACTCATAGAACAGATTGGTGGTTGTCGAAATGAGGGTGGGCAGTTGGTGAAATGGCTGAAAGGGGTCAAAAGGCACAAACTTCCAGTTAAAAATAAATAAGTCATGGGGATGTAATGCACAGGATGGAGACTATAGTTAGCAATACTGTATTGCATATTTGAAAGTTGCTAAGAGATCTTAGAAGTTCTCATCACAGGAAAAAAAATTTGTAACTATGGTGACAGATGTTAGACTTACTATGATGATCATTTTGCAGTGTATACAAATGTGGAATCATCATGTTGTACACCTGAAACTAATATGTCACTTATACCTCAATTTATTAAAAAGGCCAATAATGCGATAGAAAAATTAGCGAAGATGGGCACCTGGGTGGCTCAGTTGTTAAGTGTCTGCCTTCGGCTCAGGTCATGATCTCAGGGTCCTGGGATCGAGCCCTGTATCGGGCTCCCTGCTCAGTGGTTGGTGTGCTTCTCCCTCTCCCTCTGCCCCTGCTCATGTGCTCTCTCTCTCGCTCATTCTCTCAAATAAAATAAATCTTAAAAAAAAAAAAAAAAAAGGAAAGACAGACAATCCATAAAAAGGAGGGGAGAAATGTCTCTCCTAAACATAAAAAGATTGGTCAGCCTTAGTAGTAAAAAGAGAAAGGCAAATTAAATTTAGCCTGAAATACCATTTTTAACCTTTCTGGGTAACTGAGATCGAGAAGTTGATACAGTAGGAAAACAGACATACAATGCTAGTGGGACTGTAAAGTAATAGAACCTTTAAGAGTTACTTGGCATTCCTTCAAAGTTACAAGTACATATATCCCAACAATTGTACTTACAAGTGTACTGATTATCCTACAAATATACTGAAATAATTACTCATGGCATACACATTATGGCATTGTGTGTAAAAGAAAAAATGGAAATAC